TTGAGGCCGGCTAGATCAGGCATGATCAAAGCCGTAACAAGTACAAGTACGAACTATAAATACCGTGCAACCTGAGCATGTATAACCCTTATCTGCGCATGTCTCCGGCTTTCCTACGACTACCTATGAGTAAGGATTCTCGACAGAATCCGAAACCGGTCCAGAAAGTAAAACTGTTGTTCCAGTGATCGCATCTTCTTCCGAACGACTCATTTATTGGGCAGTGCGCTTCAGCCTAGAGGAGCTGCCAGTACAGAAATTAAAAACGTATTGAGGGCTAAAACCATCCATAAAATTGGACGGGTAGTTGGGGTAAACCGATGGCTTATTGACAGTTTAATTTGTGAAAGTCGGAGAAAAAACTGCAAGCTGATAGATATGCAAATATCGCTTGAAGAAAAACATTACAGCGGAACCTAGTGAATACGAGAGTAGATTCGAGGTTGGTAAAAAAAAGCCAACGTCTTATGATTCTAATGTATACGTGTTTACAAACACTGTCTGTTTGGGGCTACGACACCATGACACCTTACAGTTACTCATCAGTAAACTGCGGGTAAAATAACATACTGGCTCGGTATTCCGTTCCACCCAGTCCGGCAACGAGGCAGTGGCGCCTAAAGCATCAACATTTGTGATGACCATACTTTACTTAAGAAATTGTTGTGCCCCCTAAATGGGCCCCGTTATACATGCACTGGACCACCGCGAGGCCCAGGCAGGCGTTTTTCCGCGCTGGGCGTGGATGTGCGGATCAGATATTTATGCTGAGGCGCATTCTCGAATTCTGCCATAGCTACCAGCAACCGACGGTTGTTTGCTTTGTCGCGACTTCGGCGCCGCATTCGATTCCATCCATCGTGAGTCTCTGTGGCGAATAATGGAACTGAATGGAGTGTCGACCAAGCTCATTGCCATGATTAAGACCTACTATTGGTTTACCACCGAACAGGTTCTGGTCCACAACAATCTCTCTTAATCGTTCGATATCTGGTGTGGTGTCCGACAGGGCTGCGTCCTTTCGCCCATTCTATTCAACTACGTCCTTGACTGGATTCCCGGGAAGGTCCTACGCGAAGAGGACGGCGTTGAGCTTGCACCCAGACGCCGGTTGACTGATCTCGACTACGTTGATATAAACGTATTACTGGCTTCGAGCTTCGCTGATCTAAAGACTGTGTCAGGGGTAAACGAGGTCAATAAATTGGTCAGTTTGTCCAAAACGCTGGGAAGAACAACGTTTTTCTATGCTGCATCCCTGCCCAAGAGAAGGCACTTCTCGAGGTTACTGACTGTCGACTTTAAGAAGTAGACAGTTTTAAATACTTCAGAGCAAGGTTGCCGTCGAATAGACAAGGTTAAAATGACATTCTCGTCCGAATTCATGCAGCTCAACTAGTTTTATCAAGCCTTCGAAAGTGCCTATGGACTCCACACGATATTTCTATTGCCACGAAGGTGCGCGTGTACCAGGCCTCTGTGAGGCCTGTGAATGCTGAGCTATGCGCGTGGAAGATGAAAGAACACTGGACGTATTTGACCACCACTGTTTGAGAACTATCCTTCGAGTGAAGTACACCGAATTCGTATTAAATGGGACAGTTCGCACTCGCTGCGACATCGCAAGGATATCCCAGGCCATCCAAGAAAGATGACTGAGGTGGTTTGGACACGTTCTTCGTCTTCAACCTCAAGAACTGATTGTCACTAACGTCGATCCGATTCTGTTACCTAATTGGAGACGTCGAAGAGGGGATCGGCTAAAAATGTGGCTCGACACAGTCCCTCAGGACGTGGAAGTGGTTCTTGGACCTTCGGTATTCGGACTCCGACGTTGGCGGAGAGAGTAGATTAAAATGACCAGGTATTTTGCTACGGATCGTCACGGAAGATGAGGTAAAGGGAGTCAAGACTATGCCCTCGAGAAAGGCTTGGAATTTGTCGTTGACCACAGATGGTCAAGTTTCACGAAATCAAGAGGAATGTTTGGCTAAAAATGCTGAAATCGGGAGCTCAATTCGTCGCGTTCGCTCAAATGTAAAACGATTTACATGTTCTTGGCTTAGTCTAGCATACACCCGCGCGTGCTGCAGAAACTACGTCAACGTTTTTTTCATGCCAAAAGCCTATGTAAAATAGGAGCTTACCAACACCTAGACCCTGAGAATAGTAGCAACAAAGTCGTACCGTCTTAGTTCCATCAATTACGCCAGAGATATCTCAATGCACATACACGACAACTATCCGCGGAAGATTATTCACGTTTGCCCGGGTAAGTGCCAACTTTGTCCATGACAATTAAACCAACAAAAAAAACAATAATGGGCAGTTGTGTGGACAACTTACCCTATCATTAGTGAACAACTCCTGACCGAGGCCCGGAATTGCAGAGAGGACAGCAGAAAGGGATCCGATTTTGAGAATGTTTTGGAATTGTTCGTACATGCTACGCAGGGTGAATACGCCTTGCTTTAGCTTTTTTACCAGCTCTTCATTTTCATCCAAATTCATTTCAGTCACCTGGGCGAAAGAGCAAGGAAGTACTTAAGGCATGGAAATTTTACAGATGGACATCCTAACCAACGTTAAGATGAAGCTGACATGTCTTCGTCCGCTTTGTTCCTAGTACTATTACCGACAGATGTAAGCTACACAGCCTTCTATAGCAGCCCTATACTAAAACCCGCACACCTGTAAACAATAAGGTAGCCAGGCCTGATAAGTAAATGAAAGCTTTAGGTCACTTAAGTCTGAATTTGCGGGCTTGCAAACACAGGCAATAATAATTCGGCTTGAAATAGTGACCTCAGAATCCTTCCGGGAAGCAGAATAATTGAATTAAGTCTGACAGATTAATCTTCGAAAATTGCTTCGCAAGAGGGCGAAGACCCAACAAATAATTACAAAACCGATGTCAGAAAAACTGATAAATGTACATTTGTGTTTGCTCCGAAATTAACCACGGCTGCAAAAAAGCACTTCGAGGGAAAAGGAAGGAGAATGTTATCATTAATTTCTCAGTTACCGGATAGGCATTATTTATAGAGTCAAAAATTACCTTTTCCACAAGACCCTCCAGGTCGCCCAGACCGAGGAGTTTCTTAACGAAGGGCTGTACTCTAAAGGGTTCAAAGTCCTCGATATGTTCACCGGTACCAATGAACACAATGGGACTGTGGGTCGCTGCAACAGCACTCAAAGCTCCGCCACCTATACAGAAAACAGTGTTTACACAGGTTTACAACAGAAAACAAAAAGCATTTAATCGTCTTAATTTACAACCGCTGTGAATCTTAAAGAACTTCTTCCTCGGTGAACTGCGAAAGGAAACGCAGCACTTTAACGCTGGAGAATCATGACAGTAAACATGATTATGCGAATTATTGTAGCTGACACTAAATATCTGCTATAATTCGCATGGTAGAAGATGGAAATGTTGCGGGTATAGTGGTCTATGCAACCAAATGTTGCGTCCACTTAGTACGTTTAGTAACCTTCCTTCGACAGGAATGTAGACTGCACAGTAGGATTCCTGGCAATAACAGTTTGACGGAGAGCCCCTACAAACGGAGTGGGCCATACAGTCAATTAATGGGGAACGTGTATATATGAGGAGAGGTGCTGACGAACACCCGTTTAACGTTTCGTAACGCGTATGAACTGTTAAAAATTGTTTCATTAACACTACAGTATGCTATAAAACGATAAAAAAACTGACTCGCAGCTCATGTTAATTGCCATCAATTATCAACGTTCTGGCGTGCAGAAAATTTGTTCGAAACGATTGTTTGAAGCCATTTAGACATAAAAAAGTGTATATGCAATAAGAACTACCTTTTGCATGTCCGTCTAATTTCGTCACGATAACAGAGGCGACATCAACTTTCGCCTTGAAAGCACTTGCCTGAGCTTCACAAGCTTGACCGATTGAGGCGTCCATAACATAGATGACGTGATCGGGATTTATGGCGTTAGAAACCTATGAATACATAAAAGGAATATCATGAATTAAAAGAGGAATGCAGCAGATTCTTTGTTAATTCATATCTTTTTCCTACCGGCAAGTAGGGTCAATGTCAACATGACAGGAAATTTTAAACAGAAAGGAAGTTGGCTGCTGACAGTGAGTAAAGCGACATACCTGAAGCATTTCCTCAAATAGTGACTCCTCCTGTTTATGTC